CAGTTCTCTCCAAGAAGAAAAAGGGCAAACCTGAATAGACACCACAAGTTCAAGCAGCTTACGACGCTGCCCAGAATGCCAGAAAAACCTGGCTGAAGGAAAGTGGTGCTAAGACAGGAAGCAGATATAATGATCACTTGAGAGAGAAGAAGAAGTCGTTCAGGAGCTGCCTGAGACAACTGAATGCCATCCAATGACGTAATCTTCAAAAGCAAGTTGAAGAGGCCTCGCGCTCGGACCAAACACTCTTTTACCATCTGATAAAGAAGAGCAAAGGCAACAAGCAGCAAAACGTAACTACCTCCATTGAACATGATGGCCACATACTTGGATGGCACAAGTATTTCACAGACCTGGCATATAATCCCTCCCACCTCCTTTCATCTGAGGAAAGCAAGGACTGTGCAGATATGCCTGCTGAGAGTACCCAATGTGCCCCCATGAAAGACCCTTCAACACCCCAGTGCCATCACGTTTCACGTCTGAAGTATCCTGAGCTCCAGGCTGCCATTGATTCACTCAAACCAGGCAAAAACCAGCGGCCCTGACAATATCAGCTCAGAACACATCAAACATCTCGGCATGATCGCACAAAGACTCCGTCTCCTCTTCCTGAATGCAATCCTACAAAGTGGTCACTGCCCAAATTCACTGAAGACAGGAATCATTCTGCCCTTCCACAAAGGCAAAGGAAAAAGTACTCAGGATCCTCGCAACTACCGTGGCACAACTAACTCCAACACTCACAAAGCTGCTCTAAACCTGCATCAGGCCTCGCCTCGAGGCGCAGCTGTCCATCAAAGACATCCCCGACCAACTACAGTTCGGCTTCCGCAAAGGCTTCTCATGCCAACTGACTGCGTTGTGCCTTCAACTCACAATGGAGATCACAGGAGCTTCAAAGAGACCCCTGTACATTTGCTTCCTGGATGCAGAGAAAGCATTTGATAAAGTTTGGCACCTTGGCTTACTCCATAAGCTAAGGAATTCCGAAGCTGATCAGGACATCCAGCACATACGCAACCTGTATAATGGAATGGTAAGTCAAGTCCTCTGGGATGGAAGGGTCACACGAACCATCCAAATCCAACAGGGTGTTCGTCAAGGTGGAGTCCTTTCTCCCACGCTATATACTCTGTTCGTCGATGGTCTGATCAAGAAGCTCAGAGACAGTCAGCTAGGATGCATCATTACATGTAATGGCCGCTACTCCGGTGTCATTGTGCTTGCAGACGATGTCGCCTTGATCAGCAACACACCATCACAGCTGCAAGAGATGATCACGGCAACCCAAGCTTACACAAGAGAGTGGCTCTAAAATCAATCCCGCCAAGAGTGCAGTTGTGGTGATGAATGTTGTAAGTCGGACAGCCAACAGGAATGGACAATGGGTGACCTCACTATTTCCTGTAAAGACTCTCGCATTCATCTTGGAATCACAAAGTCATCATCTCAGACTGATCTGACTGATTGCATCATCTCAGAGGGTCTTAATGCCTTTTACGCCCTCTGCGGTGCAGGGGCCCATATGCTAGGTCTTGTCGCTCTCCTCTCAGTACGCCTTTGGAACATCTACTGCATCCCCAGGATGCTCTACGGAACATCTATCGTACACCTCAATAAGTCGACGTTATCCAAACTAAACCGTGCACAGGCCCATCAATTCAAGCGTATCCTAGGCGTTCCTGTGGATGAGACTGTTTCCCTCCTAACAGGCCTCATACCAATCAGCCAACGAATTGGCCAAGAAAAGCTACTGCTGCTTGGTCAACTACTGGACCTCGACTCCACCAGATTCGAACGGTGAACCTTTCTTCTTGCCCTCAGCATCGGTACTCCCTCAGTAAAAAGCCTGAAAGGTATCATGGCTATGTACAAGCTTCCAACCATTGAGGACCTTATTACAAATCCCATTCCCTACGTCTTCTGGAAGCGCAGAGTTAAGAACTCAATCTCTGCTGCAGTCGAGGAAGCTACACAGGAAGGAGCTGCCTCCAAGTCGTCCCTCGCATTGTGGCATGGAAAATCCATCAACCCAAGGAACCTCTACCCCAAAGACCCATCATCAACAATAATCAGACAGGCACTGACCATAAGAGCACAGCTCCTCACATCAACCTACATTGTACCTCACCCGAACCTGTCTCTCCAAGATTAAGAAAGCAACCAACACAAAGTGTCCTCTATGTAATCTTGAGGAGGATACCGTAGTTCACGCTGTGGCCGCCTGCTCGACTACTGTGAACCTACTGGAAGACCTTATTGACAGAGCCAGTAGACTCCTGCATAATGCCTTCGACTCTGCACCAAATACACCGTTGCTCAACAGCCAGGACCCCTCCCATCAGACTTGTGCTATTCTCTTGCCATATGATCCATCCCTTCCCTACACTGTGAATGATTCTATTTTAAAGATGACGCTTCACTATCTTGACTAAATTCATGCCCATCGCCTGCACTCCATACCTTCCAACTAAGGATTTTATAACATATTTACAGTAGCCTACTACTTCGAATGCGATAAACTCGCTGATCTCCGAAAAGCGGAGGGACAACAACAACAGAGAGAGTTGCCAATTTTATTTGTCTTGTGATTTTCATAGTTTTTCTGATTGGCTTTGTCTAATTTTTCTGCTTCTATTGAAAGTAAATTATTTTTGGAGTGGACTTGCCCTTTAAAGATACTATGTCCCTTTTGCAGCCAACATCAAATTCTGTAGAACTTTGCAGGAATTATGAATATGTCATGTATGTCCTATCCTATCTGTGAAATTTAAACGTTAGCAGTGTCCTAATATTCGAATTATGCAAGGAAACCCATTTACTTGCTAGACTTCACTGTCAGAAACGTTTGAGTGATGACTAGCTTGTTTTCTTCTTTGGTAAACATAAAATGAGCTGTAAAGGGTACATGAGCATTTGTCTACATCAATAACCCACTTCTTATAATGGCCTAAATTGAACTGATTGAATCTTTGTGCAGCATAAAACGTAGGACCATTAGGTACAATGGTCTGAAAATCAGACTATTACTTACTGGCTCTATAGCTCTTAAGTCGATTTGACAACTAATAGTCGTTGTTTTCCCACTTAAAGACATTTTCAAGCCCCCTTTTTATATGGAAGTTCTAACATTTAGGGTATAAACATTTCAAGAGGAGAGAATTCAGTCAGATTGCTATGTTTGCTATTTCACATCATTTAAGTTCAGTGGTACATGTACATGTATGGGTATTTCCCAGTATTGTGCAAGTCAAGCCACACTATTTTGATTGTATGTTGATTTAGAACATTTCAAATCAACTGTATGATGTGGTTTTAACCCATGTATATGTACATGTACATACACCTGTACATGTATGTACTGTTGGGAGATTGACAGCTCATGGGTAGCCAACTGGAGACGGTGGAGCAGCATATCTTGAATTTGGATTTTTAAGATATAAATATAATATCCAAACAAAACAAAATTTAACATGATAGAATTCAGTCAGATTGCTTGTTCTTTCACATTATTCAAGTTCAGTGGTACATGTACTGTATGGGTATTTCCCTGGAAATTGCCAACCCTCCTGGGCTCCAACCAAAATTTGTAGGAATCACCTGCAGAAAAGGGTGGATATGCCCCCAAGCAGACTTGGGGGCAGCATCCCTCAAAGTCCCCCTATGGCAATAATTATACATTTGTGAACATTATATAAAAAAGAATCATGTTGATATAGGAAGCATTCCTCAGGAAGAGGGATATCAAATAAAATGATATGCTACTGACACCTTCAGTGGGAGGGGGCTTGGGAAATGTACCCCCACCCCAAACAAAAGATGCCCTCTGGTTTACATTTTTAACTTCTTCCCTCAAAAAAACGCATGGCCAGATTTTAACCAAACTTAATAGGAATCATCCTTAGGCAAGGGAGAATTTAGTTCTTCAAATGGAGTACGTACCTCCTAGGAGGCTTGGGGTAGCCTTGAATATATATGCACCATGCAGACAGGAATGCGATCACAGCAAACTTTAAAATATGTGCAGGCGCGAATCTTGAAAACTGTCAAATAAATTGTAGAAATTGTTCCATTTGAATCAAGAATATCTCTTCAAAATGCCAGGTTAACCTCATTTTTTATTTCATAAAATTCATATTTTGATGATGATTTCATTCCAAATGTTGGTATGGATTCTGGCTAAACATTGTAGGAATCATTTTTATGTGAAGAAGACCTAACTTTATACATGCCCCTGCTGGGTACTTGGGAGCAGCACCCTCAAATTGCCCTACTGTTTCAACATATGCTATGTTCCTGGTGCAAAATGGGATGGAAGTTAGGTCCCTTATTGTGAGGCTCCTACTGGGAGTGGCACTCCTCCCCCATCCCCCTTCCCAGAAAATACTCCTCCGGTGTACATTTAGACTAAAAAAAATGCATGGCTAGATTTTCACCAAACTCGGTAGGAATCATCCTTAGGAAAGGGAGACCTAAAGTTGTTCAAATGGGGTATGTAAACTATGGACCTCCCACAGTTCCTCAGTGGCAGTAATTCCACATGTACTTCTTCTTGAAAACTCATGACTGGATATTTCTAACCAAAATTAGTAGGAATCACTTACAGGAAAGGGAGATCTAAAGTAGGTTAAACGGGGTATATTACCTCCAGGGGGCTTGGGGCAGCCTTCAATATTCTTCATCCAAACAGCGATGTGAGCATGGCAAAATTAACTACTACTACTGCTTCTACTACAACTTCTATAAACTAGTTACTAAGTACTACTCTTAACCACTTCTCATACTACTACTTCTACCATATTTTCCCAGTTTGTACTTGAGCAAAATAGAACTTACCAGATAGTTTTGAAAATGAAACAATGTGGGCAATTCAGATCATCTACTGTTTTTTTCTTGTTATTTAATGGCGCTTTCACTTGACCATTGTCCATAAATGTGTTACTGTATAAGTGTGGACATTACCAATGGTATGTTTCATTACTTAATGTAGGTTCACCTACCATTATTTTCTTCCAGATCGTGGCTTGTTCTTCTGACTGACTCAATCGATTTGCCAAGATGCCTGTATCACTAAGTGAGTGGAGGGTCCGAATTGGAACATTCGTTCATTGGATTAGGGAGTATGAGGTTAAGGAGAGGAGAGAAAGATTGCTTAAAGAAAGGATTCGAAGACTGAAGGTTCTTTGCGAGAGACTTGAAGCAAAAAGGGGTGATTCTGGGGAGGATGACAAAAGGAGACAAGATGGCCCTGATCCCAAGGGATGTCCTCATAAAACTGCGAACATTCGGTCATCAGGAAATTCATCAGATATCAAGGATTTACTAACTTCATGTGATCAGTGCATACAAGATTTATTAACAGCAAGTGATTCTCATATCAAGGAGATACTCACTCCTTCTGCTACTAGCATCAAAGAACTCATTACCCCAAATGACTGTAGCATCAGAAGTCTAAACTCATTGAATGGTCCGACTATCAAAGATATAATCACACCAAACGATTCTGGTATCAAAGAGCTAATTTCAACAAATGATTCTAGAATAAAAAATCTGGTCAAGGCAAATGACGATTCTAGAATTCAAGATCTAGTCAAGTCAAATGATGATTCTAGAATCCAAGATTTACTCACGACAAATTATTCTAGTACATGTATCAGCGATCCAATTACACCAAGATATTGTAGTATAAAAGATTCAACTTCATTAAATGCTTCCAGTATCAAAGATCTCATTACACCTAATGATTCTAGCATCATAAATCTAATCACGTCAGAATATTCTAAGGTCAAGGAACTAATCACATTCAATGATTCCAAAATCGATAGTCTACTTAGTCCAAATAAGACCAACATTAAACGGCTAATACAGCCGGACAATGACTATATTGAAGAGCAGCTTGCACGTACATGTACATCAGATGATGAAAGCATAGAGCATGATACCCAAGTTGGTGATTCTGAAGAACAGCATATGTCTGATTTTTCAATTTCACCGAGTCATAGTCTGTCAGACGCTTCCGTGATGGAGCTACTCACATCCTCCAATTCGTCCACGAAAGACCTTCGGACTCCAACTGATGATTTGAATGCTTATCTCATCATAAAGACTTCTAACATCAAAGACCATGAAACCCAATCAGATGGCTCTGTGAAAGAGCTACCATCACCTGGTTCAGGAACCACAGTATGCCAAACCTTTGCACCATGTGATGATCTCCTGGTGGAGCTCCTAAAACCAACTGTGTATGCAAGCAAAGATCTTCCTTCAATTGACCTTTGTTGCCATGAACCTGACAGACAAAATGAGCCATTTTCTGAAGAGAGTCGCAAACGACCTCATTTCGTGGGCAAAGAGCAACATCCTCAACCTTATACTTTCACCAAGGAAGCAACTGATGATGAAGTCCTCAAGGAACATCATATATCATCGGGGAGCTGCAAGAAGTCACAGACTGAAACCAGTATTCTCATGGCAGTCGAACGCAGTCCGGTGGTGGTTCCGTTCATCTCAAGAAAATACCGCATCAGCGACAGATATGAAGAGGTGGGTACAAGTACTATTTCAATCATCCCTTTATATTAACCCATAGTTTACTGGATCTAGATAGTTCCTATAGTAAAGCCATAGGCAATTAAACAAATGTCAGTAGTCAGTGGGTTAAGTAATTGTAAAATTGCAAATGATATGAAGAAAAAAATATGTAAGCATGAAGTACAGGAGCACATAGATCAAAGATTTGGTACCTTAGGTTTGACTATTTCAACCCTTGCAGGACAAGAATTTTTTAAGGGCTTAATCAGTTTCAGTTATATTTTCATTTCCAACAAAACAATTGACATAATGAATTATGACAAGAAATCAATCACGTAAATCAATATACATTATTATATAATGCATTTTGAAAATCATTAATTAAATTACAAAAGAAAAAGTATACATTTGCTGCAAGTTATGCTTCTTTTTTAAAGTAAAAACTGTGGAAATGGAGCGCCCCACTTCGGAAGCATGTTGTTCTGCAAATTATATTCTTCTTTTATTGCTACATTTTTCAGATGTAATTCAATGTTTTTCAAAACAATATACATGTACATTTCAAGGAACTTTGTCTGGAAGTTGGAAGCCGGCGACATTTGATAGAAAAACAATGATTTGGAACCTCTTAACATGTTGCCAATTTGAGGCTTTTAATAATTATTTTCCTTAAAAAAAAATCTTATCAAACGCAATATGGTCGTGCAATAAAAATGGACACATTACATCATTTTTTGCTTTTTTATACATGCATCTGGTATATTGATTAGGTTCTGGGTCAAAGGATATTCAGTCAAACCACGACATGTGGAATGACTGTCTCGAAAGGGTCAAGTTAAAGACCATTGTCCCAGAGCAAAATCGATACATGATGAATGAAATGGAAAGATTGTACACTAACAAATAAATATATTCCCATGAACAACAATAACAAGCATTTCCTGATTAGATAATGTGCTGGTGAACGGAAATATGTTCCATCATAACAAATTTTCACTGTTTTTACTCTGTTTTTGTTATAGAAACAGATGGAAGAATCCGCATCATCTTGTCATGGACCGTCCTTGAATTCAAAGACAGATTTGATCTCTGGACAGATTCCTCCTCTCTCCGAATTGCTCCTCTTGAAATCTGGTGATGTAGAGCTCAACCCAGGCCCTCGTGAAGAGTAAGTCTCTTTATATTTCTTCAGCTAAATTGGCATACACATGTATGAAAGTTCACTCCATCCACTTTTCATCAAAATTGACTATTTTTGCATTTATAAATGTACTATATATTCTTCTTAGTACACAGCACACAGTCAAAAAGTTGAATTTTATACGAAAATACAAGTAAACACTTCTAGCTTGTTTCTAGCATGCTAAGTACCCCCAAAAGGATACATCCACTTCTGATCAGTTTCGGTTCCAGAACTTGATACTTCCATTAAACAATTGCCTGCTTGAGGAACTGACCAATTATCAATGATGTTGAGGTGAACCTCATGCACATGCCTTGTCGTTTACAACCAGTAACCTGAACGAAGAGCGTATATGACGTTAGCACTTTGACACTTTATTTGATGTGTGATTAAGTTTATTAATTTCCTTCTGACAAAAGAAATGTTTTCGCGATACCAGGGACGGCGATTTATTTTCATGGCCGAGGGAGAGGGGGTGACGAAATGCGAGGGACGAGGGAGCACAGTGAACAAGAGTTGTGAAGGTTATAGAAGTGACTGTCCACTGTTTCAGAAGTATATTCATTTTTCTAGCACTGATCTATGTCTATAACTCATAATCTTGTGAACAAAAACTGTAAACTGTGCTTACGTGATACCAACGGAATACAGATTTTCTACAATATTTACTTGTATATTTTGAACCATATTAATTATGCGAGGGAGCGGTAACATTTTTTGCATTTTATTAGGCTAAATGCTGCACTCCTCGGACCTCCAGAGCCAAAAAGTGTGTTGCCGTCTTAAGTCAGTATTTGATATATACATTTTTTGTTGTTACACTATTTCAAATTTTCCGAGGGGGGGGGGGGGGGGGGGGACGTGTCCCCCGTCCCCCGGGAACACCGCCCCTGCAAAATACATTCATAGGTAGATGTGTTGTGGTCCAGTGAATAAGTCGATCACCCAACTGCAGATCACAATGTACACTGTTGGTCATAAGGAAAAAATATTTATTTTTACCCCAATTTATGGAATGATTTTGACAATGATTTATTCCTAGATCTAAATAATATTATACATTCTCAGATTTTATTGAATAATAATTTGCGAGTGTTTGTTTGCGTGCTACTATGCTAATCAACTAGGGTACCTACGTCCTCAAGTCATAACTGACAGTAATGAGGATTAATGCTTTACAAAAGGGCACTATAGCTGATCGACACGGTTTTTATTCTGGGGCCTCACAGTAACGAGGCCATTGCATAGCCACTGAATCATAACTGTACGCTGCGGGGGCTAGGGTACGTCGCACAGTGGGCCAGGGAGGAACCAAAGTGCGCCAAAACTCTTGTTTGGGGATTTATTTTTTATAAATCCAGAGGAAATGTTTAGATTTCCAGGGATTTTCGCTTAAATTTTATTACCAACATTTTCTCTGATGTCTAGGCTTTAAGTTGATACCAGATTTGGCTGCCCGATTCTGCCCGTTATTATGTTAGAGCCGTATTCCTTGCAACATTGCCCCGAAAAATGTGTTTATTTTGGTCCGCGGAGTCAGAACAAGTGTCACGCGCCCCCTCGCGCCGTGATTTATGACCACGAATCCTTCATGATTCAGCCGCGGACCCCAAAAACCCACATTTTCGGGGCAATGTGGCAAGGGAAATCGGATTTATAAAAAACATGGATAATTAGTCCATTCTTCAGTGAATTACCCTATAATATAACAAGAAGATTGTGTTTCTATTAATTTTAACCCATTCATTCAACGAAATGAACTATCAGGAATATGTGAGAGCAATATTATATCAATAACTTAAAAACTTCATGTTGAATTGAAAGATTTATAAAACAAGTCACTTTTGCACTAAAACTGTGAATATGTAGGATTTTGCTGTTTGAAGTAGTAAATTTATACCCCTATTGTGCATACCAGAATTAAATATTTCACTGAGATATTCCTCTTTGTATTACCTTTCAACTGGGCAAGAAAAAAAATGAAAAAAATAAATCACCCAAACTTAGTTTTGGCGCACTTTGGTTCCTCCCTGGCCCACAAATGCAATAAATTATCAATAATTCATTGCATTTTGCCCCGACTACCAACATGAAAAAGTCCTCTATGTGGGCATGCCTTGAACCATAATGTATGGCCCTACAGAGGAATTTTTTCCTGTTGGGGACCGGGGAAAATGCAATGAATTATTGATAATTTATTGCATTTTGGTTTTTTTTAGGTGGTCTGTCGTTTTCGACAGATCGCCTATTGTTTTCGTCAGAATTTTCTTTCTTTATTTATTAGGTGGGCTGTATCCAATACAGACCACCTTATAATTTTGTTTAAATTGCCTTTATTATTATTATTATCAGGTGGGATGTATCTAATACAGACCACCTTATAATTTTGTTAAAATTGCCTTTATTATTTATTAGGTGGGCTGTATCTAATACAGACCACCTTATACTTTTGTTAAAATTGCCTTTATTATTATTATTATTATTTATTTTTCTTATTTCGACCCACTTTTTTGTAGGCAAGATAACTTGAAAATGGTTTATTCAAATACCTTGAAATTTGGCACACATATGTATATGCATATGGAGAAAACACGGCTATGTTTTCAACCTTGACCTTTACTGATGACGTCATCTAGGCGCCATTTTGTGAAATTTTCTAAAAATCAACTCTTGATCATATCTTCATAACCCAAAGTGATTTTTCAATCATGTTTATCATGATTAAGGTCAATATCAGTCCGGTCAATTTCAGGTCAAAAAACGCGCACGTGCGCGTACGTCCGCGCGTCAGTACGTGCGCAAAAGTTTAAAATGCTCAAAATCGTCTCAAATTTATTTTGCATACGTTTCAGGTCATTTTAAGCATTTTATGAAAAATCGCGCCCACGCACATGCGCGCGCGTTTTCTCGTCTGATATTTTGTTTGCATACGTTTCAGATCATTTTAAGCATTTTATAAAAAATCGTGCACACGCGCATGCGCGTGCGTTTTCGCGTGTAACACCATTACACAACATAGAATCGCATTTTTTTTTCTTCCATGATATTTCTCATATTTTTTCGAACAATTTGATACAATATTTATCTCTTTATAACCATTAATAACAAGATGAGCGTCCATTCAAGATAAATGTCCATGCGCGCGAGCTCTTACATATACAAATCTAATATACAAAATCCATTATAGCCCTTTGGAATGCATCGGGACCCTCATTTTTTGTTCATATTTAGATAGAGTATGAGTTGGAGATATCATATCATATCTCATTTGGCCATTAAGTGTATCTTGACATCATCATAATGGCCTTGGAACTCAATCTACGAATTTGCATATTATGACGTCAGCATATTTATGTAAAATTGATTGTATCTCTCTAAATATTGATCGATTTTCTTTCAAATTTCGATATGTTGTAGCTAAGACAATTCTCTACAAGCTCACATACCATCATTTTTTATTTTGATGACGTCATCATAGTGAAAATAACGATTAAAGGGCACAAATCAGAAATTTCTTAATTTGCATGTCATGCCTATAGAAGGTGAATTTCGTTCACGTCATGAATCTATATGATATTGTTTTTTAAGAATTTTAAAGCAGTATCTCGTTTATTTCTGCTCAATTTTGGCTCAAATTTTAGTTGACCAGCCCACCTATACTTGTTCCAAACAAGTATTACATGTCTAGTTTATTTATTAATTTATTAGGTGGTTTGTCGTTTTCGACAGATCACCTATTGTTTTCGTCAGAATTTTCTTTCTTTATTTATTAGGTGGTCTGTCGTTTTCGACAGATCACCTATTGTTTTCGTCAGAATTTTCTTTCTTTCTTTATTTATTTATTAGGTGGTTTGTCGTTTTCGACAGATCACCGATTATTTTCGTCAGAATTTTCTTTCTTTATTATTTATTTATTTATTAGGTGGTCTGTCGTTTCGACAGATCACCTATTGTTTTCGTCAGAATTTTCTTTATTATTATTTATTTATTAGGTGGTCTGTCGTTTTCGACAGATCACCTGTTTTCGTCAGAATTTTCTTTAGTAGGAAGTTTGACATAATATTCTTTCTTTCTCATCCATTTTTGTTAGGGCTGGGTGGAGCGTGGATTTAGAGAGAGAGATGCAGTCATTGGTACAAGACGTTCCTTTACGATACTACTGCATCTTGTGCAATGCTCTGGATGTCTCCTATGCACAAAGTAAAGTGTTTTTATCAGAAAACTTAAACAATGTGCCTAATTCACTGTTTGGAGTCATCTGCACCTGGGGAAGCAAGCAGAGGGACGACACTAAATGCAAGAGACTTCTAGCTGAAAAACTCAGGAGTGTACATTTAGATGCATTGGGAACAAAACTAGTAGAAGGCAAGTGCCATGTGCAATTTATTTAACGCAACTGTCTGTCCTTGGTATATGTGTAGGTCTACCGGGGGGGGGGGGTGATGGGCATTTCCCTTTCCTCCAATCTCTTCTTTACAAACGTATATGTTAAATTTGTGAGTGTGTGTGTGTTCTTATTGGTAAATCAAAAGAAATCACAATATTTACAGATAATTCACATAAATAGAAACAAATTCTCTAAACAGAATAAAGCAACAACAATCGATGATTCAATGGTACAAAATATATTTTAAAAAGGCAGAAAATTGAAAACGTTACAAAATAGATATTGTTCAAGAACGAAGCCCCCAAGACAAAAAAGGTGAATCAACAGACCACCTCCGACCCCAACCCTATCCATACAGATGAGCGACCGTATGTCAAGTCTCATCTACACCATCTGGACAACCACCGAAAACACCCGACCACCAACGGGTAGACTGGAACAAGCAGAATCAAGGAGCGGGGCGATCCAAACAAGGCCACACAACAACTTCACTCTCACCCACACACACACCCTCAGACACACAAACACTTTTAAAAAAAAACAATTTTGTTTTATTTCTCCAAATGTGTAATACAAACCATTACATACAATTGAATAAAATAAACGTGTTCAATATTGATGCTTTTACATAATTAACTTAAACACAAACTTATTTGCAGTATATATAACTTAGCAACAAAGTAAACGTGATAAAGGCAATTTTAACAAAAATATAAGGTGGTCTGTATTAGATACAGCCCACCTGATAATAAAGAATAATAATAAAGGCAATTTTAACAAAATTATAAGGTGGTCTGTATTAGATACAGCCCACCTGATGATGTATTGAGATATGAACTGATGAATGAAGAATAATGGATCAAGTGATAATAGTGTAATAATAAAGTAAATATGGTTGTTTATTACATTATTTGCGATTGTACGAGTTTTAATATTCAAAGGAGATGGTACAGTGAAAGGTCAAAAAGAAAAAAAAGTGAAGAAAAAAAATTGTTGGAGATGCCCGGACTCGAACCAGGGACCTCGAGGTCGGAAGACAAGTGCGTTACCGATATCCCAAAACATTTCCCATAGAGATTACACGTAAACGGAAAATGTAATTATCAAATCCCACTTTGCAAGTGAGATATGAGCATGATCGGCATCTGATCGAAAAATAAAGGGCACACTTGTGATAGCTTATTGTCTCAGCTACAACTCAGCGAAAACAAAGCTAAAACGACGGAGATATTGCTCGCAAAAGACAGGATGTAAAATCCAGTTTTGAGAAAAAGTCATGTCCCATAGAGAATACATGCAAAATGTGAAAAATTGACATGCCACCTTTAATCGCAAAAATACGCCATGATGCCATTGTCAAAATGAAAAATTGCTTAAACGTATAAGTACCTAAACATAATATGTCAATTGTAAATGTTATTCACTTATATCATATAAAAAAAAACTTAAACAAATCTGGAGGTAATTTTACTGGAACAATCCTGCCCCCTCCCTGCCCGCCTCCATCACACAAACATACTCACACACATACTCACCCACCCACCCCCCCCCCACACACACTACTCACTCAGTGGATGTCTGCTAACATTCTCAACTCAAGACAAATATACTAAATAAGTTATCCAGGCCGCAAATAGAGTTACCCTTTTAACAGGCACACTTTTTTTTAAAAACAATTTTTTTTTTATTTCTCCAAATGTGCAATACAAACCATAACATACAATTGAATAAAATAAACGTGTTCAATATTGATGCTTTTACATAAACATAATTAAACACAAAGTTATTTGCAGTATATATAACTTAGCAACAAAGTAAACGTATAAGTACCTAAACATAATATGTCAATTGTAAATGTTATTCACTTATATACAAACAAAAAAACTTAAACAAATCTGGAGGTAATTTTACTGGAACAATCCTGCCCCCTCCCTGCCCCCCTCCATCACACAAACATACTCACCCACCCACACACATACTCACTCACCCACCCCCCCCCACACACACACTACTCACTCAGTGGATGTCTGCTAACACTCTCAACTCAAGAAAAATATACTAAATAAGTTATCCAGGCCGCAAAATAGAGTTACCCTTTTTACAGTCTCACGGTGGAGAAGAAGAAAACAATCTTAATTAATCTAAAGCTGCTTCCACTTTAAGAAATGTGATCCCAGCTTTCCCATTTTAATTCCTATTTTCTTTTCCTCATCCCTATACTTAATTTTTTTTTCATCTTTTCTAAAGTTGGTACTCGCCCCCCCCCCCGATCTTGACATAAATGTAACATACTTCACCATGAAAATGATAGTATTACACATTTTTATTCATTATGAACTACCTACCAACCCAACAAATATATCTCGCCATTCTAAATCTTTAATTTCATCTAACTCAAAAAGTTGTATTAAAGCCTGCCATATCCTTTGAACGATAAAGATAAAAATAAATGTTTGTATGTTTTTATTTCCTGCTTACAAAACGAACATAAATTATCACCTACAAAACCAAATCTATGAAGATGCTCATTAGTGTATATGGCTCCATGCAATAGTTTAAATTGAAATTCTCGTTGTTTTCTAATGAGTATAGTAATTTTTGGTCTAACAAATATTTCTTTTAATTCTTTATCTATAAAATTATAATCATTTTGCCCATCCCTTACCTGCAAATCATACGTTTGTTGCAGTGCTTTGATAAAATAATCATAAATTGTTCTTGAACACACATCCACAAACTGTATTTTTTACTAGAAATATGGAAATAAGTATTAAAGCTTATCAAATCAAACACGAGGAATCGTATAAACCCTGAATCATTCTTCCATAACCTGGGTATCGCATCATAAATATCAATAATCATTAGCAAATTCTTACCTTTCATACCGAGGTTCATAAAATATTTAACAGACTTAACATGGCCTTTCTCAACCATCATGTCTGGCAAAAAAAACATCAAAAACATCATGTCTGGCAGAGGAAAGAGTGGAAAGGCCCGCACCAAGGCAAAGACGCGCTCATCCCGTGCAGGGCTCCAGTTTCCAGTGGGACGTGTTCATCGGTTTCTCCGAAAGGGCAACTATGCAAAGAGGGTCGGCGGTGGAGCTCCTGTCTAAAGATCCATTCAAGTCACCCACACCCACCCACCCACCCACCCACGCACACACACACACGTACGCACATTCTCACATCAGGGCCTTTGTGGGGCACCTGATTGTGGGGTATTTCTGTGCGTTCCAGATATACCTTGTGGTCCCCTACTAGTGGGGTATGTACAACCTGGCGATAACAACCCGGCGGTGTGCTTACGATGTTACCATAAAAAAGTGTGCAAGTTTTAGCACACGCTCACAAAAAGTCATTTACGGGGTACCACTTCTAATGCCCCGCAGGGCATAGGACACCGAATATACAGTCATTTGAAAGACTTTACTCTGTGGGGTCCTGAAAAAATACCCCACAAAGTAAAAATGCCTCACAAGGGGTATGTGAAGCGCACATAAAACCCCACAAGAATGCTGAGGTGAGAGCATACACACACACACACACACATACATACACACACGCACATTCACAGGCACTAACCCTCCACAGAAACGCTCGAACATAATAAAAATCGCTCCACCCCCCCCCCCCCCCGATCCAGCCCATCCCACTCACACCGCAAGGGATCCGGCGAACCCCGCCTCAAAGCCAATGGGTTAAAAATAAACCTCCTAAAATAAGGCCCCACCAGGTGAAGGCCAGGCGGTCAGACTATTTTTAAACTTGCAGATATGAAAATGATATTTCATTAACAAAAATAAATATGAAACAAATTTGTTAGTACAAATTACAAAAATTCTTTCAAAATTGTTTTCTCTTTTTAATCGCATAAAGTGCATTTAGGCGAGGCGTCAAAAATAAATATACCAGCCAGCGGCAGCTAACTGCACTTGTGCGTCCTGGCTGCATTTTTTAAATTAGCTCAGCCGGCTACCGCTGGCGGTAGGACCCTCAATTAACTCATGATGTCATCATAATGTTTCCGAACAAAAGCATGCGCCGGCTGCCGCCTTTCGAATGGAAACCAAGCCTCAGATCCCAGCCTGGCGCAAGCCGGCTGGGCTAATAAGTGAAAAATAATTGCCCCAGCCAGGCTTCGGCCGTAATTGCAGCCTCGATGCGCCAATACGTGAGGCGGCAGCCTGCTGGTATCGATATTTTTGACGCCTCGCCTTAGCGGTAGTTTTTTTTTTGGCCCTCGAAAATTTGCACCCTCTCCCCTTGAGCGCCAGGGGGGGGGGGGCACCCCCTGGATCCGCCACTGTCTCCGATTCGCGTGGTAGGGGAGAAACAAGAATTAAGAGTCGGGAACGGTACAACGACCTCTTTCTCTAAAAAAAATGTATTGAAATGTCTAAGCTGAAGCGCGGGTAGGGCGAAATTAATTCAGACAAGGATTACTGAGAGTCTAGAACGGAACAACGAATTGTCTTTTTTTCCTAATTAATTAATGAAACGTAAAAACTTCCGAGCTTCGCGCAGGAGGGCCGAAACGAATTCAGACAAGGATTAAGAGTCGAGAACGCTACAACGAATGGTTTTCTTTCTCTAATAATTAAATGAAACGTCATAGCTTCTGCGCTTCGCGCGGAGGAGCGGAACAAGAATTAAGAGTCAGGAACGGTACGACGAATCGTCTTCTTTCTGTAATAATTTAATGAAATGTGTAAGCTTCCGCACTTTCCGCGGGAGAGGCGGAATGAATTCAGACAAGCTTTAATTAGAGTCTAGAACGGTAGAACGAATCGTCTTCATTTCCTAATTAATTACTGAAACGTCTAAACTTCCGCGCTTTGCGTGGGAGGGGGGAAACTGAATTCAGACAAGGATTAAGAGTCGAGAACACTACAACGAATCGTTTTCTTTCTCTTGTAATTAAATGGAACGTCATAGCTTCTGCGCTTCGCGGTAGGAGAAGAATAAGAATTAAGATTCGGGAACGGTACAAGAATTAGGAGTCGGGAACGGTAAAACGCGGAATCGTCCTCTTTCTCTAATAATTTAATGAATTGTCAAAGTATCCGCGCTTTGCTCGGGAGGGGCGAAATGAATTCAGACAAGGATTACTTAGAGTCTTGGACGGTACAACGAATCTTCTTTCCCTAATAAATTTTTCAACCTTAAAACTTCTGAGCTTCGCGCGGGAGGGGCAAAATGAATTCAGACAAGGATTACCTAGAGCCATGCGCCTGATAGTCCGTAGGACAAATAATTTAGCCCCTGGCCAGCCCCGGATTTATAGGGTTCGATTTGTAGACATTGGATTGGCATTTATATAGTTGTCGGTAATCGGTGGCCAGTTTTGTTGATAATCGATGGCCTTTACACCCCCTCCCACTAAAAAAAAAGGTCTAGCTACGCTCTTGTCTGGAGCATAGGATTTTCACACAATTAGAACATCTTGATTAATTCTCTCTAAAAAGGCTAATTCAATACATTTCTAAGGAGCATCAAAACTTTCATCAAGTAGATTCTTTACCCACATCATCTTTTGGGCCATTGCAAAGATCATGGGATCAAGCATCCTAAGACCTGGCTGAATATAATCATCACATATGTCCTTTCTTTGAAATCTATCCTTACCTCCATTTGATTTTGAGTTTGATTTTTTCATTTTCACAAAATACATTCCAAATTTCAAGATTACTAGATTGTATTCAAGTTTAGGAAGAAGAAACGAGGTATTTTGATACTAAGCAAAGTTATATCAACTGAGGCAGCACTAAGGTTTTAGTTACACATATTTTACCAATTAATGAGAGATTTCTCATTCTCCAGTAATTTAGGGTTTGATTAATTCTTTTCAATTTTTCTTTGTAATTTAAATCAAAAATTAAAACAACAGAAAAATTGACCCCTGAACATTTGAACTAAGACATTTTCCATAAAACGCCACGATTAATAGATGGAAAATGTGGGCAACCTATTTTAGAACCAATCCAAGTTGCTTCAGTTTTTCTGGAATGTAAAGTCTTAATTGAATCAATAAACCCTTGGCCAAAGTAAATTGTTTCAAGGTGTGTAATATAAAATTATGAGAAACATTGTCAAATGCCATCTCAATATCAATCAACAAAATAGCACCTAGAATATCATTTGACTCAGTGCATTGTATAGTATCCAAAATTAGACTAGTGTTGTGACCAATGTTGCATTGTCTCTTTTAATTAAAGTGATTCGGTAACATTGCCTCAGAATCTGAAACAAAATCCTGGATTTGCCTCATGCTGCAATCATAATTATGAACATTTTGGTCAGTCAGGAATCCCATGACTTTTACAAGCTGATCACCTGTCTGAATATCAAGATATTTATGATCGGAAATCAAAATCAAATTTTGCGCTTTCCTAACGGTTTATATAACACTACAGTCTATTGGCGGAAAATGAGTATGGTAGAACCGGTCACTCAAAGATTTTTACTTTTTTGAGGCACTTCATGATCATTTTGAAGCGCAACGTTTTCAGGGCTCCAATATTACACCATATGACAAACACTGATAACACATAGGGCCATGCATCTCATATTTGACATTGTTAAACGATATCTTTAATATTACAATTTCTATTTTGACGTGGCATATATTTACACATTATTCTAGTGTTTACTAGTAACACTCGTTTTCACTGAGCTTATATCTAGTATAGATATTTTACAAAAATGATATAATTTGGCTACATTTTCTTCCGATTTTTTTTTGTAAAAAAGTATCCACTGTCATTTAGCTATTATGCCTATTATTAGTTACTAGAACCTCTTCTTATCCTCTCCTCATTGTTGAATTTTGGCTTCATAAGCAGTAAACATCACTGCTTCATGAGAAACCTTATACGAAAATCTCCATGATTTATAAGGTTTATCAAGAATTCGATTTAAAAAAAATGCATCTTGATAGTTCCTTTCTTAACTTAAAAATTCAGTTACTTTATTCCAGATTATAAATCGTGTGTGTATGAAGGGGTGGGGTGTGGGGGCTTGTACCCCCAGAAATATGGTAATGGTTGGTCATAAAGTTTACTGGTTAGAAATGGAAAAGCATAACTTTTCATGTGAGAATTTAATATTTGAGGGATTGACTGTATAAACACAGTTTTTATACAGAGGCATCTATCAGTCTAATAGTGGAACCATGGAAGGGGGCACAATTAACTCGTCTGACAAATTTGTTTGAGGCCTGCCACGTTTAGTAGTACATTTTTATATATTTGCCCAAAAGAATTTTGTTAGTCCCTCCTCGTCAAATTCAAACTTTAGAGCTGTTCCTTTGTATTTATGATTTGATCTAATTTCCTGTAAATATTGATTAACATGACAATATTTAATAACACATTTATTTTAAAGAGCATTCAATTTAGATACAGTTGTCTCATTTTAACTTATAGGTGGATACTCGGAACAAGACACACCAACTCAGTGTGAGTATACATGATAAAGTCCCGCAAAAAGCTACAGTGTGATATACTGTTATATTTTTGGAATCAATATCGAAGAAAGAAATCTAATGATAGCAATTATACTTGAATAAATGTAGACTTCAAGTCGAATATTTGAGGCAAAAATTTCCCAAAATATGAAAGCAATCATGTGTATTACTAAAACCCTACGTTGACAATTAAAATATCTATCCGGGCGTTTCAAAATTTCTTCATGAAATTGAGATTGTTAAAAAACCTGTTTAAAAATTGGTTGAAATACTTGGGGAAGGTGTGAATAACTTGATAGCTAGACCTACAGTTAGGATAGAGACATGGTTGACATGCTTAAATTATATCTAGTCATAATATGTTGAGTGTATGCATTTGTGCATGCAGACGCGGATCCAGGGCGGGGGGGGGGGGCAAGCGGGCCTCGCCCCACCCCCCTTGCCCCCAAAAAGCATGCCCCCTCCCTGGTCAAAAAATTGACCATTATGCCACGACGGCGCGATTTCGAATTTTCGGGGGCAGAAAAGAAAAAGAAAATTTAGTGCTCAATGCCCTTACCCCCCACCCCCGCCCCACTGAGCGAAATATCTGCCGGCATGATTTTTAAATTCCAGCACACTAAATTTCAAATTGATTTTAAATTTGGGCCTCCCCCCTAAGAAGTCCTGGATCCGCGCCTGTGTGCTTTTGCATACGTGTCTTGCATAGGTGTCGCATTATGCATACCATTGTATAAATGAAATGAAGGGGCTGTCCAAATTAAAAGACTCTCTCTTTATGATTTTTTATGTCATGATATTTTTTGTTGTTCTGACTGTTTTATTGGATTAACCTTTAACCATACTTGTTTCTTCTTCACATTATGCAGCTTCAGTTACAGATGAGGTGCACCCTGTAAACAAGCTCACACAAAAAGAGAATATAAGGTGCGGTAAAGATTTCATGACATTCTATCGCACGGTGATGTGTAAAATCAAGACTGGTCCAATTGACTTTGATTTCTTAAAGGAGTTTGAAAACATTTACACAGATTTAGTACTGCTTGGAAACAAGATGGGGATTAAGGGAGGCTAAACATCAACGAAAGGTGATACTCTGCCTATTTTAAGTGATAATTGAAACTTTAAATGATGTACTTCATATCAATTGTTTCTTACTTAAATTCTTTATTGTTCTATTGTTCGATACTTCTAGATATTCAACTAGACCAATAGCCAAAGACATCGAATATTAAAGCCATGGATGGCCCTACCACAAACTAACCAAAATGATATATGTTGCATTGAAGTGAAAATGAGTCATAGACTTTGGTATCTAACCGCACCAAAATGATTGACATAAATATGTTATATGAAAATAATGTAAAGGAAACTATCACTCTGGTTAAATAGTAAAGTTTTAGTAAGTAAAGTTTTATTTAACCATAAAATGAAACATGTACATACAAATGAGTAACATAGTAAACATATTACGGTAAAGGACACCCTTAGAAGCAAATTGCTTGTGGTGGGGCCTTAAAAAGAAAAAACAAACTACACATAAATTATACAGTTTAAAAACTTTAAAATAACATGATACAAACACACAAGCACGCTCACACATATACATACACACATACATTCAAAATATCCTCCTCTGCTCAAACTTGTTTACATAAATCATTAAATAATAACTGTGTACATCGTACTTTAAATCGAGATAGAGTTGTACTTTCCTTAATATATATATATAAATAGATGCACGTGATGTAAAAGAAACGGTTCACGATACAATCGTATAGGCAAATAGCACCAATTAATCTTATTTTGCTCAGTAGGACGTTTGACCTATCCTTTCTTTCTCATCAATTTTTATGTAAGGGCTGGGCGGAGGTCGGATTCAGATAAAGAGTTGCTGTCATTGGTAGAAGACGTTTCTCCAGTACACTACTTGGACTTGTGCAATGCTCTAGATGTCTCCAATCTACAAAGTCAATTGATTTTAACACAAAACCTCATGAATGTGTCCAATTCGCTGTTTGAAGTCATCTGCAGATGGAGAATCAAGCAGAAGGATGGCACTAATTACAAGAGACTTCTAGCTGAAAAACTCAGGAGTGTACATTTAGATACATTGGCAACAAAACTAGTAAAAGGCGAGTGCTCTGTGCTATGTGCGGCTGTCTGTCCTTCGCATATGTGTATGCCTACGTGACACCAGGGGGTGTGGGGGGGGGGGGGGAATAGGATCACTCCCAGTCAATAGTCATCCATGTATTTCAACAAGCATATCACTTGATCTGATACCTAATTTGCATGTAGATATGGGGGAGGGGGGGGGGGGGGTAATGTTGGGAATTTCCCTTCCCTCCAATCGTATGTACGCCTACATGAAGGCCTACATGAAGATTGTTAATATTAAAAATTTGATTTTGATATGGCATATATTTACACAATATTCTAGTGTAATTACCTTCACTTGTTTTCACTAAATTAGTAGAACTTTGAGAAGACGTTAACATTTTCTTTTGAATTTCTATAAAAATAGATGTCTACACTGTCATTTTGTAGATAGTAGAACTCCTTCTTATCTTCTCCTCATTGTTGAAATATGGCTTCATAAGCTGTAAACACCAATGTTTTTTTATAATGTCAGCCAATCAGCGGCTAACCTTTTCACGAAAATCTCCATGATTTATAAGGTTTATTAAGAATTTGATAATTTGTTCCTTTCTTAACTTAGAAATTCAGCTACATTTGTCCAAATTGGAAGCCATTTTTTTAGGGGCAGAGGCGGGGGGGGGAGGGGGGGGGGGGGGTCTTCTCATTGTTGAAATATGGCTTCATAAGCTGTTAACATAAATGTTTCAAAAGGTGAACCAAGCAGCGGGTAACCTTTTACTTAAATCTCCACAATTTCTAAGGTTTTTCAAGAATTACCTTTCGATTGTTCGTTTCTTAACTTAAAAAACAGTTACTTTTTCAGATTTAAACTCGTGTTTGTAGGGGCGGGGGGGGGGGGGTGGGGGAGGGGGCATTGGGGGAGGTGTATTGGCCCCCTGAAATATGGGTAAGGGGGGCATTGGAGGAAGGGGGCATGTGCCTCCTAAAGTATGGTAATGGTCTGTCGTAAAAGGGTACTAGTTAGAAATGAAAAGCATAACTTTTAATGTAAGAATTAAAAAAAAAAAAGAGCAGTAACGTAATTGCCTAAACGTTTGGCGGGGCGAAGGAGCAATAATTTGTAAGGAAATGACTGTATGAACTATGAACATAGTTACACAGTAATCAATTAGGCCCCCCCCCCCAAAAAAAAAAAAACAAAAAACAAAAAAAAAACAAAAAACAAAAAACATGTTTAGCGTCCTGTTTTTTTCGAAAAATAGGAAGGAGGAGGCCTTTTTTTTCTTTTTCTTTTCTAAATGACCACTCGGTACATTTTCCCTGACATTCAGGCTATTTTTCAAGATGGCCGCCTACATTTATTTATTTATTCATTTTTTAAATCAGAGATAGATCTATTTTAGTAGTGTTTTTCATGTTTGTTTTTTGTTTTTTTTTTAATGGTCTTAGTGTAAAGGTGGAACCATGGGAGGGGGCAAAATTTACTCGTCTGACAAATTTGTTCGAGGCCTGCCACGTTCAGTAGTATATTTTTGTTAAAAATCTTTTGTGACCCTAGATTGGGTAAAAACAGGTGCTCCGTCGTTTTCAAACTAAAACTTACGAGCTGTTCATTTTTATTTTTATTTTTATTTTTATCATATTTTCCTTTACTGTTGATCTACATGACAATGTTAAATAACATATATATTTGTCTCATTTTGACTTATAGGTGGATACTCGTCACAAGACACCCCAACTCAGTGTGAGTATAAATGATCAAGTCCCGCAAATAGTTACAGTGTGAAATGCTGTTATATTCTTGAAGCAGTATGGAACTAAGAGATCTAATGATAGCAATCATACTTGAATAAATTTAGATTTCAAGTCGAATATTAAAGGGCCAGGAGTGAGGCCAACATTCTCAAAACATCAAAGTATACATGTGTGATACTATCTATTTTGACAATTAACAAATTTTATATTTCAAAATTTGTTTATGAAATTGAGATTGTTTAAAAATCTGTTTAAAATTGGGTGAAATACTTGGGGAAGGTGTGAATAGCTTAAAGGCCTATAGTTAGGGTAGAGACATGCATGGTTAACATGCGTAAAGCCTATCTGCACTAGTTTGGCCAGGAGAGGATATACCTACATGCGTGGTTACTGACAGGTGGTTATCCCATCAAATCAGTTTTTAATTAAAATAAGGAAAAAGGGATCATGGGGACCAACGGGTACTGCTTAGGCGTTGTTTGTTATATAGAGGGCGCAAGTAGCTTTAAGTAGAGCAGTCCCCCTTTAATATGTCTCTGGTCATAATATCTTGAGTGTATGCATGTGTGCATGTGCATACGTGTCTTTCATAGGTGTCTCTATTATGTATAAGATTGTAAAGATGAAATGTAGAATGTGCAAATTAAAAGACTCTCTTTATTATGTTTTATGTCATGATATTTTGTCTTGATTTGACTGTTTTATTGGATCAACCTTTATCCATACCTGTTTCTTCTTCACATAATGCAGCTTTATTTACAGATGAGGTGCACCCTGTAAACAAGCTCACACAAGAAGAGGATAAATGGTGCGGTAAAGATTTCATGACATTCTATTGCACGGTGATGTATAAAATCAAGACTGGTCCACTTGAATTTCATTCCGTAAAGGAGTTTGAAAACATTTACAAAAAAATTAGTACTGCTTCAAAACAAGATTGAATTAAGGGAGGCTAAACATGGACGAAAGGTGATCACCTGCCCTTTTAAGTGATGATTGAAACTTTAAATGATATACCTCATATCCATGGGGGTCAATCCTTACGTAATACCTATTGCTCAGGGGGAGGGGGGGGGGTGTGAATGAATAGATCATCCCCTCTGAACAATAGGTATTACGTAAGGATTGACGCCCATGCTCATATCATTTGTTTCTTCCTTAAATTCTTTTTTTGTTCTGTTGTTCGATAATTCGCAACTAGACCAATATCCGAAGACGTCGAATATTTAAAGCCATGGACGGCCCTACCACAAACTAACCAAAATGATAGATGTAGAGGTGTCATGGTCGAGTGGATATGTCACCGGACTGTGGATCACAAGGTCCGCGGCTCAAGTCCCGCCGCGGCACTAATGTCCTTTTGCAAGACATTGATATACATTTGCCACTCTTCACCCAGGTTTTAATTGGCTACCCGGTAGGATGCGAAAGTTAATGTGGTGTGATTAGCAAGTGGCGCTTGTAAAATGGCGACTGGCTGGAATGCTCCCCAGGGAGTGGAGAATTCGCATACATTATTTGCAGGTAACATGAATCCGATGACAGGGGTAATAATATATATCTGTAAAGCACATTGAGAGGGCCTGTGGTCCTGAAATACGCTATATAAGGACGAACTATCATTATTATTATTATATTTTGCATTGAAGTGAAAATGAAGCATAGACTTTTCACCGTACCAAAACGATTGACATTATACAGATATTGACTGACAGGGGGCGTAATATAACATTCTTTGGACCGCCGAAGGGAGTTATATTTTCCCAAGTGTTTATATTTTCCTGAAGCGCGCAGCGCTGAGGGAAAATATGGTCTCGATATGGTCTCGGAAAAACAACAAAATTATGAAGAAAAAAAATTGGGGAAAAAACAGAAAATGGAGAAAAAATGATAATTTCAACGGGAAAAAAAAATGGAAAAAAATATTGATAGAAAAGAAAGTGACCCTCGGTTTTGGTGTAATTTATGTAATTGGTAACACACAGTCCTCAAGAGGGCGACATGCATTGGTTAAAAATATATTCATTTCACCAGCTGGGGAATATAACACTGGAAAGTGACCGGCCAGGAAATTATAACAATTACGATCCTCGCAATCGATATCACGTGACGAGCTCTGGACCAATCACATCTCGGTCTCTGTCTAAGTTATCTAATATAAACATATATCATAAGACAGTAATCAAAAGAAATCTGTCACTCCGTTTAGATGCACTTGATCTATTTAATATGAACTCCCTTATAGAGTACTGGAGTGTGATGTCATTATACTGGCCACGTTGCCAAGGTTGCTGGTTCCAAACGATTTTCGACTAAACTATGGTGTGGTGATCACACCAGCCCCAAACACTGGATTTGCCCTACTCCAGCTCATTGCTTGAATGATTTTGCAGTGAACCTCATGCAAAGGCTCTTCTGTTTACAACCAGTAACCTTGACGACGACCGAATATGATGTGAGCACTTCGGTACTTGTTTTGATGTGTGATTAAGTTATTATTTTCTTCTGACAAAAGAAATGGTGCGCGATACAATCATAGGCATATAGCACCAATTAACCTTATTTTGCTGAGAAGGAAGTTTGACTTATCATTTCTTTCTTATCAATGTTTTCTGTTAGGGATGGATGGAGCTTGGATTTCGAGAGAGAGTTGCGGTCTTTGGTACAAGACGTTTCTCCGAAACACTACGTCGCCTTGTGCAATGCTCTGGATGTCTCCAATCAATCAAGTCAAATGATTTTTACACAAAACCGCTTAGATGTGTCCATTTCACTGTTTGAAGTCATTTACAGATGGGGCGTCAAGCAAAAGGGTAATCCCAAGAGACTTCTAGCTGAAAAACTCAGGAGTGTACATTTAGATGCGTTGGGAACAAAACTAGTTGAAGGCGAGTGCTCTGTGCAATTTATTTAGCTTGGCTGCCTGTCTTTCGTGTATATGTGTAGACCTACGTGTCGCCTGGGGTCAATAGGGGGTTGGGGGGGGGGGGGGGATAAAGATGGGCATTTCTCTTCCCTCCAATCCCTTCGTTACGTATGTACATGTTGATTGTTAATATTACAGTTTTTATTTTGACATCGCATATGTGTACACGTGGATGAGTGGATATGTCACCGGACTGTGGATCACAAGGTCCGCGGTTCAAGTCCCACTGCGGCACTAATGTCCTTTGCCACTCTCCACCAAGGTGTTAAAGGGAAACCCGGTAGGATGCGAAAGCTAATGTACTTAGATTAGCAAGTGTGCCCTTGTAATAATGACGCCTTGGTTGGAATGCTCCCCAAGGAGTGGAGAATGTGCATACATTTTGTGCGGGTAAGCCTGAATCCGATGACCAGGGTAATATTATATATCTGTAAAGCGCTTTAAAGGTAATGCAAAGTTTTGGTATGGGGTCATAAATTTGGTTTAAATTAACATATTGGAAGCATATGCGATCCTACAATGTTCAGTGATCGTTGTCGCGGTTGAAATCGAGTCTAAAATTATAAAATTGTAAACAATATACTCCTTATGTTGTATAGCTCCCTCTCAAGGTCAAGATATTAATTAAGCTATAAAACAATGTTTCTTGACTAATTTCGACCGATTAGCTATTCCCGTTCGGAAATTGTATATCATATCTAAATATTCTGAGATGTTTATGGTCGCAGCTATAAGTGTACGGCCGTAGGCCCTATTTGAAATGTTTATATTCAATTTTTCTCGAAAGTAGAAGTGTTTTAGTGTCTAAATTTTCTAGTGCTTATAATACATCCACAGGGGCATCCAAATAAATAAAAAATGTAAAGAATCACTATCCACCCAATTTTCAAAATTTCCCAAAACTTTGTATTACCTTTAAGAGGGCCTTTGGTCCTGAAAAGCGCTATATAAGAACTAGCTATAGTTATTATTCTAGTGTATTTAGTTTCACTCGTTTATATAAGTAGAACTTTAAAAAGAAGAAAATAATTTGGCCACATTTTCTTTCGAATTTCTATAAAAAATAATTTCTACACTGTCATTTAGCTAATATGCCTATTTCGAGATATTAGAACTCCTTCTTACCTTCTCCTCATTATTGAAATTTGGTGTCATAAGCTGAAAACATCACTGTTTTTTAATGTCAGCCAAGCAGCTGGTAACCTTTTACGAAAATCTCCATGATCCATAAGGTTTACAGGGCTGTCAACTTTGGGGAACTGCTTCGAAGGAGATCATATGCGATTCTTTTTGGCTGAACGGGAAGGGGGGAGGGGTTAAAATGTTCATTACCCCCCCCCCCCCCCCCCGTTCAGCAAAATAATTACATACGATACGGTACGCTGGTTCATTTTACACGTTTGACGGGAGGCTTTTTCATAAACCGGGAGATTGCGGGAGAGCGGTAGGAAGGGCGTGGTGGCTTGAGACTCCCTCCAAATGCGGGATGGTTAAAGGCCCTGGGTTTATCAAGAATTTAATAGTTTAAACAAAAATTACCTAAGGGTTAGTTGAGTTTTTTTCGCAAAGGGCGCTACACAAAATAATTTTGTGTGAGATAATGAAAAAACTGAGTAACAAATTTGAAGGAACATCCATCTAAAAACCCTGAAATATGGTAATGGCCTGTCATAAAAGAGTTTTGGCCGGTTAGAAATGGAAAAGGCATAACTTTTAATGTGAGAATTCCCAAACAAAAGCAGTAACGTAATTGGTAACATTTTGTGGAGCAAAAAAAAAGCAAACATTTTGAGGGAAATGACTAAGTAAACACACTAACAGAGGCATCTATCAGTCAAAGCCTTTAAAAAAAAAGTTATATTGCCCTTTTGCGACTGACCCGAAAATCTGAAATGTACGGTCGGCTTTAAAAAAAAAAAAATTACGACCGACCGACCCATGTTTTGGCACCTAAAGGGTAAAACAACATCTACTTTGTTAAAGGCCTAATGATGGGACCATGGGAGGGGCCACTATTCACTCATCTGACAAATTTTATTGAGGCCTGCCACGTTTAGTAGTAGATTTTTTTTACATTTGCCCAAAGGAATTCGTTAAAACAGGTAGTCCCTCCTCGTCAAATTCAGATACCTGAGCTGTTCCTTTGAATTTATGATTTGATCACATTACCTGTTGACTAACATGACAATATTGAAAAAACATATCTATTTTTAAGAGCATTCCATTTAGATACAGTTGTCTCATTTTAAATTATAGGTGGATACTCGCCACAAGACACACCAACTCAGTGTAAGTATACATGATCAAGTCCCGCAAATAACTGCAGTGTGAAATGCTTTTATATTTTGGAATCAGTTTCGAACTATTAAAGAAATCTAATGAAAGCAATTACTTCTTGAATAAATGTAGACGTCAAGTCGAATATGTGAGGCAAACATTTCCCAAAACATGAAAACATGTGTATTACAAAAACCCTACGTTGACAATTAACATATCTAACGTTTCGAAATTTGTTCATAAAATCTAGATTTTTTTCTTCTCACAAACCTGTTAAAAAATTGGTTGAAATACTTGTGAGCAGGTATGAATAGCTTGATAGCTATGCCTACAGTTGGGATAGAGACATGGTCGACATGCTTACCTTGTCTCTGGTCATAATATGTTGAGTGTATGCATGTGAGCATGTTCATACGTGTCTTGCATAGGTGTCGCTATATGTATATAATTGTACAGATGAAATGAAGGGGCCGTGCAAATTTAAAAGACTCTCTTTATGATTGTTTATGTCATGATATTTTTTCTTGTTCGGACTGTTTTATTGGATCAACCGTTAACCATACCAGTTTCTTCACATTATGCAGCTTCAGTTACAGATGAGGTGCACCCGGAAAACGAGCTGACACAGGAAGAGGATTATTTTAGGTGTGATAAAGATTTCATGACATTCTATCGCACGGTGATGTGTAAAATTAAGACTGGTCCAATTGACTTTGATTCCTTCAAGGAGTTTCAAAAGATTTACAAAGATTTAGTACTGCTTCAAAACAAGATGGAATTAAGGGAGGCTAA